TTTTGAGGGGCGCAAAAATGAAAAGGGGGCGCCGATCCCGCGCCGAATTTTGAAAGTAGGTGGGAAGAAACGCATTCGAAGAAATATAGTTACTAATTCCGCCAAGGAAAGATGTGTTTATAGACTTATAAACAGACTAAGCACATAGGCGACAAAGTGAGTGAGTATATTAAATTGCAGACTATTTTGTCTAACCGTATTTGCTACCTCACGACTCACACGAAATCACTCGTTCATATAGAAACATGATCAGTGATCACACGCAATGTCTCATTACCGGAATATTGATCAGGCTTCAAAGCGATCATGGGAATCATGCATATATGCGTGGGGTCCGTGTGTTATTGTATAAAAGAGCTGTAAGTTGTAAATGAATTCAGATCAGTAGAGAATAGAATTGGGATTAGATTAATTGCTGGAAGTAGTTAGCATTGCCCAATTTAAGTGCTACTACTAAATTCTAACCAATTTTCAAATTTCGACACGTTGTAATGCCGTTTCCTGACCATCAGATTTCTGTCAAAGTCCAGGAAATGGCATTTCAGAGACTCTAAATTCAAAAATTTTCCTGGTGCGCATGTCCCCGGACACCCCTAGACAAACCTCACACCTGCAGCGCTCGGCTCGTGCCTTCGGCCCTCGTTTACCAAGCGTCACATTATAGGGCGCATATTGGTTGCCAGCCCACTACCCCCCCCCAGAAAAATAGTACCCAGCACGCCACTGTGTTGCATGCGGAATATACTATTTTGCGAAATATGTTACATATGCCTCGGTTTGAACGCGGTTACGTTTAAAAGAGAAACGAGTGCGCGGTTTGCGGTTAAAATTTGAAAAACAGCGCGGTTTTCGGATATGCGTACCCCCTATAATAGGCCCCCTTTAGAACTTTTAATACCAGATATATATAACTACAAAATGTAAAGGCAACTGCATAGTATGTTAATAATTAACAAAACAGTCTGAAAAGTGTGTGCATGAACTGAGAATTTTATTCTCTACTAATTAGCTAACGTTCGTCTTCCATATAAACAGCCGATTAGCTTCCCAACAAATAACAAATACTATAAGAAGAACAGTAATAAGCGTCACAACCGAAATAGTATAGCCTATATACCAATACACAGTAAAAGTAAGTTAATTATTGGAACAAATAAGCAAAAATTTTGGTGCACGACCTTCCACTGTTATCAATTTCGGTATAGCCACTCCAATCTTCACCGTACCACACTCTCAATTTTACCCCTTTATTGAGATAGTGAGGAGCGCAGAAATCAGACAAGAGCAGCTCTGGGGATAGAGCAGTGTATCCTGGCATAGCATACCAACCATTTTGACTCACAGTTGTTACACGAGGTGAAGGATAAATTATTCTATTTTGAGAATCAGTGATCAAAGTGGCAAGGCCATTGGTACCTTCGCCGGATCCCCAGAATGAACCTGGGACTGATGCCCTATTAGACACCAATCCTGAAGTATGCACAAGTTTCACAGCACTGACGAAAGCACTTGGTCCGTTATATGTTATTTCCATATTGCTGTTGCCCTTTGCACCAAAGCAGCCTTTGCCAACATAAAGCCACAAACCTATATAAAAAAGAAATTATTTGAACTCATGTTTTTATATACGCAAAATAAATAAAGAAACTACAACAAGTAATCACTATAGGCGAGGGTGCAATTACTTGCGGTGATTTGTGGCTGGGATGCCGCAAGAAAGCATTTAAATCCTGCCCATGCATGTGCCATTTACATCATTCATGACCACACTCTTTTATTGGATAAAACGAATAATTAACACCTCAAAAAAAAGTCTATACCCACGTTATACCTCCTGCGCCTTAATCGTCGGGGGACGTGTCCCAAGTTTTTGGACATTCATAACAATCTACAACAAATTGTCCCCCTTGAATGCAAATCCGAAACTGATCTTATTCATGCATGCATTGACGGCTTAGTCCAATTTAATTTAATATAAAGAATTGCCTCAAGTGCTTTTGCTGGCTGATTTCAAATTAAAACAGCTAATCGTTCGAACTTCATGGGAGAAGACATTTTAATTTATACTCCTAGATGAACCAAATTTACAAATATGGCCACCTCTCAGTAGCAAGGATTTTTGCCCGTATATAATTCATTTCGCAGTACTATCATGCAGGGAATGCTATACAAATATAAGCCTTAAAAAATCTTATAACTTTTTATGACTGAAAATTAATATATATATATATATATATATATATATATATATA